AATTCTGGGAGTTGAAATTCACACATCTTCAAGCTGCCACGGTTGAGAAACACTGGCTTAGACGAAATGAATGAGCCTGAATGGCACTTCTTTTGTGTCTGCAAACTGAATTTGGTTTTGGAACTAGAAATCCTTAGGAGATTTCTTTCTGTTTTTTCTAAAATTAAGTTTCTAGCCATGGTTTTAGGAGGGAGACATTGGGCACATTGTGGCTTTTCTATTACAGCAATATCTAGCCTTGGCTGCAATAAAACCTGGGCCAGATTTAAGGAGAGGATTTGGAATCAAGACATTCAAACTGAATTTCCCATCTTTGCGACAGTGCAATTTCTCATCACCCTTCGCAGACTACCCCTAGATTTCTTAAAAACATTTTACATGTTCCGTACAAGAGACTTTTCGCCCTGGCCCAAAGTGATGCACTATTCATTAGGGTGACAACAGGCAGCTATACCAGTGTCCTAAATCTCAATTGTCAGAATATTTAACTAGTGAGTTCTAGTCCTGCCTTAGGCATGAAGAGCTGGGGGACCTTGGGCCAGTCACTCTGTGTCAGCCCTGGGAAGAAGGCAGTGGCAAGCCACTACTGAAATCTTGCTAAGAAAATTTCAGGGACTTGTCTGGATAGTTGCTGGGAGTCAGCACTGCCTCAAAGGCAAAAAAGAAAAAAGGAAGGAGGGAAGGTTTCCAGATACCTCCAGGAAGGCTGCAAAACCTCTGTCAATAGCTAAGGTTTATAGAAGTTGCTTTGTGACGTTATTAACTGTTTCAGACATGTCTTGTAACTTCTAATTTATGTTTATTATATAAAATATAATTATATATTATATAATATATAAAATATATAAGAGATTATATATAAATATAATTTGTATAGATTATTTACAAAATATACAGTACTTGATATTTTTATTATTGGTCTTGGATCATAAACAATTACTGCTTGAAAATATACCTGAAGGAATTAACATCAGACTTCTGTGATTGATTATTTAAAACCCTGAAGACCTGATGTTATGCAGTATACACTGAATTTTAAAAAGCCTTAGCAAAATGCTGCAGGGTGTGCCTGTTTAAAGCAATCAGTCTTGTGAGAACTAGAAATAAAACAGATAGTGAATGTGTTTCTGTGTATCCATATCCAGTGGGAAGAGGGAAGAAGGTGATGTGAGAATGGAAACAGGGCTTATCCTCAGGTGGAGGAGGAGGGCAGGAGCAGGATAGCAATATTAAAAAGAGGTATGTCCAAGAATGTGTAATCAGCCTTTTCTCAGATATTGAGACTGTGCTGGCTGGGAATTTCAGGAGTTACAGTCCAAACCTATCTGGGTGGGGAATGGTGGGGAATAAAGGGCCTCCCATATTATCTCACCCCAAAGGAGGGTGCTGTGACTGTTGCCAAACCCAGCGCTGATCTGGTGGGAAGGATAGCAGGTGCTATTTGATTTTATTCTGTTTAGATATAGATTCTGTTTTATTCTGTCAGAATCTCTCTGGCACAAATGGGAAGACTTGCCTTCTAACATCACCCAGCCAAGGAATAAGCCTGCTTGCAGATTTAAGACTGCATTCCAGCAGAACTGACAAGTCCCATAAGCTATTGGCTTACAGATGGTACCAGGCATCCTCCTTTGCTCGGGGAAGGCATTTCCACGGCAACCCAGGGGCGTACCAGGAGGCACTAGGTAGCACAGGGATAGTTCCAAGGGCAGGCCAGATGTGAGCATCAGCGAGGCTCCTCCATTATGAATCTGTGTAGTTGTTCTTTAAGGATTCCAGAATGGTGAATGGGGGCTCCAGAAGAAACGTGACTTGGCCACAGTTCCTTCTTGGTTGCGGATCATTTCTCAAAATGCAAGGCAGAGTTCAGTGAGATGTGAAATTAGGTCTCGTGGAGAGAAAGGCTCTCATATGTGAGGGAGGAACTGGAGTGGAGAGATTGTTCAATATATAAAAATAGTAGTAAAAACAGTTTTTTTCAAAATTGGATCCTTCAGATGTTTTGCACTGTAATTTTCTTCATCCTTGTTTATTAGCCAGCCTGACTGGGTCTGATGGGAGTTCTGTTCTGAAAAAGCTCCTAGTATTTTATGCACTTCATCAGGTTTTTTTCCCTCCTTTAATGCATCTCCTTAAAAATTTTACTCCCAACACACCCCTCCTTCCTTTGACTCCCTGCATTGAATTTTGGATTCTAAGCTTCTCCAGCCAAAGACGCATCCTCCTATAATTTGTAATGTATTCTCTATGTTGGTGCTGCTGTATAAATTAATAAGATCCTTTACAGGAACCTGTCGCTGAGGTTTTGTATTAGTCTCAGGAGTCCAAAAGATATGAGGACAATGACCCAAATGGGTAGGCACTGAATCAAAGTGGGGGGAGCTCTTCATGTACCTGAAGCATGAGAAGAGCCCTACTGCTCAGGCAAGGTTCATCTAGCCACATTGCATCCTGCATGATGGCCCATCAGATGCACCTAGGAAGCCCACAAATAAGAGATCCGGGCAACCTGCCTCTCCCACTGTTCTTGTATATCTTGTATGTAGAGGTGGACAGATCCTGTGTCAGCCTTGCAAGGTAGTGCAGACAAGAAGCACGGCCAGATGAGCTAATTCTACTTTATTGTAAGGTTACATTAGCAGAATCTTGCAAGCCTGAAAGCACATTTCTCCCCTGTCCCCTTTACAGCCCAAGAAACTAGGGAGGGTCCCTTCTGAAGTACTTGCCCCACCCACATTCCTGCTGCAGGCTAAGTTGCCTTTTATCTGACCATTTCCTCAGCTGCATCTCTTCTCCCTGTCTCCCAAGGCCATTCCCGCATACCATTACACACTATGCCTGAAGGCAGCACCCGGTCACCAAGGTTAGTGGCCACGGAGAGACCTGTCCTCTAGGGTCTGTCAATGGTCAGGGGCAGTATTTTCTGGGACATTTTAAAAAAATATGCTAATGATTAGGCTTTCATTACAGTGTTCTTGGTTCCTGTTCTGAAATGGTGAGAAGCCAAAATTTGGTGACGTAGCCAGAGGGGTAGCCTGGAGATAGAATCGGGAGAGGGTCCCCATCACTGCTATAAGAAGAGTTAAATGAGTCATTCTAGGAGTCTGTAGATTGGAAGATGCTTTTTGAGGAAGTCATGAGTAGATATACATTCCCTTCCTGTGTTCGAACTTTTTAAAGCAGGCCTTGATAGATTGTTGATATTATAAAGATGGGAAGACTGAGGCCAGCCAGTTCATAGCAGTTTCAAAATTAGACTCATCTTCGTAACTCCTTTATTATACCAGCTTTCATGAAGGGAATGATAGGCTTTCGGACGCTGTTTAATGATGTTACCTGGTTCTGGCTGCCTGGCTTTTCCAAATCATTTCATGGTTTTACGATATTTGACTATCTAGCTATTTCTGGTGCCATGTGTAGAAAGACAGGCAGAAAATAAAAATAACCAAATATGTGCCTGTAGATATTTCAAATCTTTGCTGGAGAGCTTTAAACCTGATGTCCTGTGGAATCTGTGACTCAAACTAGAATAAGCTCATTGGTTGCTATTTTTTTAGAGGAAATAAAGACTCAAGGTCTGTAGAGGGAACATCTCTGTTGGTCAGCAGTAAATCTTGAAAAAAAGAGGTCCTTCCCTGTACAATGCCAAAGAAGCTTTGCAGAGCTGAATCTCTAGAGAACAATCCTGCTGTTTAGGATGTCAGTCAGACTAGAAATGGTACTAGCAGATCCTTGAAGATGAAACAGCATTTTCCTCTTTTTTAAAAAGTAGCCCTGCTCAGTAGATTACCAACATGATCAGATATCCCTGTTCTTCAATTAGGAAAGGATCATTATAATGTGGTGGCGCAACAGGTATAGAAGGTTCCAGATCGAGTCCCTGGACCCTTTGATTAAGAAGAATGGGACAATAGATGATGGAAAGGGAACCGCCTCAAGAAAGAATAGAGTCTGCCGTTCTCTGTGCAGAGGAAAGAAGGATAGGTGGAGCACAGCAGAGGGTGGACTTTCAGAGAGGAGAAGTTCTTGTCTTTCAGAAATCCAGTCTCATTCATCAGTAAGCCCACCCAAAAAGTGTAGGTGTGGGAGGGAGGAATCCAACTCTTGGCCCAATTTAGTTCCTCTCTCCTGGCTTTGCCAATATTTCACATGTTAGACCAGGAATCTACTCTGATATGAAGAGTCTTCATATTTTCATAAAGTTGTTGGAGCCTAATTGTGTGTTATAGGAATGATACAAAGATGCAAGGGTCTGTGGGAGTTGTAGAAGAAAGACACTGTGGGAGTTGTAGAGGAACAAATCATTCTCATGATTTTCTTGGTTATATCATCTCCCTTTTAAAAAAATAGACATTGAAGAATGTGAATGAGTTCAAGGTTAAGGTGGACCGGGAGAAGGTCATCAAGTGTCTGGAGCTGTTGAGCTGCCTCATCAAAATAGTGACCCAGCAGGTATGTGTGTCATTCTTCTTATCTGGCTCTTCTTTGGGATGCCAACATTTCCCAGATTATGTCCATTGCTCACTAACTTCCCCTTGGGGTTAAAGTCATTGTTCTATTTTTGTTTGTTTAATTGTGATAGTCAAGTAGGTATTCCTTGGACTAAACTAAGTATCCAATAGAAGAGAATATCTGTAGCTCAGGGTTGAACTATGGAGTTTTTGGTGCTCTCTGAGCTTGGTTGTTTGCTTGCAGACATTTCATTACCCTACAGACTCTCGCACTGATGATGTTACCTAGTTGGGTAATGAAACATCTGCAAATAAACAACCAAGCTCAGAGAGCACCAAGAACTCTAAAGTAAGTATACCTACATGAAATTAACTCTGGATCAATATTCATGCAATAGTTGTGTGAGGTCATGTAAAAACAAGTACTACAGTTGGCACATCTAAGCATCTAATTCAGATACCCTAAGGCAGTGTTGTCCAAACTTGGCCACTTTAAGATGAGTGGACTTCAACTCCCA